CGGCAGTACAACAGAGATTAAGGAATGATTGTTTGTTTATCACCACTCCTGAACAAATAACTTGCAACAGGATGTCGTTAGAGGTAGCATCAAATGTTCTGAAAACTCCAGGAGTAAAAGCCTGGCTACTGCCGCTGGTGGGTCAGACACCCTGGGAGGTAGCTGATCAAATAGGAACCATAGTGCAGGAGGAAGAAATGAAGAAAAATCCCAAATTAATAATATAGAACACCATGTGCACACTCCTTATCATCCACAATCTAATGGGGTTGTGGAAAGACACATTGGTATTTTGAAGACACAATTGAAACAAATTTAAAATCAATTTCTTTTAAAAACTGGGATGCAGTATTGCATGTCACCTTAATTCAGTGCAATAATGATAAAACCATGTGGTTGAAACACGAAAAGAAAGAGTTTCCAGTGTGGACATATAAGTATAAAAAGGGTGATAAAGTGTGGATACACCTACCCAAAGAAGAAGAAGTAACAAAAGGTGTAATTGATCAATTGGGGAAACATCCCAACACTTATTTTTGTTTAACTGAGGAAAATCAAACACTAACCTCATGAAGCTAGGTCTCACGAGGACCTAAGCAATCATTTAATTTTGTTACAGGTGTCAAGGATTGAAGTGGCAACAGTGGGAGATCAAGGATGAAAATGATCCCAGAGATGAAAACTGGATGTGGCTAACCAATGCAACATTATGCAAACCAGTACCTAGACCACCCAACGTGATTCTGGGATATAATGCTGATGTATGGAATCTCACAATACCAGGTTATTCCCTTAAATGTAATATTCCTTGGGAAGGACCATGGAACCCCTCCAAATTATTAAATCCTCGTGATATAATTAATGGACCATATCCATATGGCATTAAATTAACAGAAGCAGGGATAAATGAAACTGAGTATTATCCAACACCATGGGGTTTTGTGAGAACACACCCAGAAAAGGGTGTATTTGGGGTAAAATTAACTATTATCCCAGTAGGGTTATTTGAAAATGCTACAGTAGACCCCTATGGTATCATCCAATGTAAGTGGAATAAACTTTTCTGGAAACCTAACACTGTCCAGAACAGTGGCCGGCTTACTACTAGCACTTGGTGTCGGACTATAGTACATACTAGAAAAGGGATATTACCTTATCTCTTAATTATAAGGGATCCACCGCACCAAGAACAAAGCACAATAGCCTGGCATTTAAAATCTCCTGAATATTCCCGCACTGCCATGCGCATTACATATAACATTAACTGCACGCAACCACAAAGAAAGCGCAGGTCAGTCTGGACAGACTGGGCACAGCAAAATCAAGATAGAGAATGGGAAGAAACAGTAAAACCTGAATTCATGTTACTTTTAGGATTTGCCACTACACATGTGACCATTACAAAAAACATTACACAAAGAATGCAAAATTTCGTAACATTAACTGAACAAAATGAAAATATCACTAATTCTAACATGAGGCAAATCCAAGCTAGATTACAGTTCATCATCTGTACACAGTTTCATGAATCCAGCACCTTTGAACAACTTATTGTAATGAATTTAAAGAAGAAATTCACAGGTGCTGGACATATACCTCACGTAGAATGTCATAGTCGAATAATTATGCTATTTAGTCACGAAAATCAGGGAAGTGTACAATGGTTCTGTTCAGTGAGCCCGCTAACGGGT